AACATTTTCTAATGGTGGTGTGCCTTGTGATTTTTTTCATGAAAAAAGTGTGCCTTTGCACAAAAAAGGTTGAAAAACACTGGACTACACAATGCAGTCAACAAGTAGATGTTACACTGCAGTGCCAAAATGCAGCGGTACGACCCACTGTTTGGCACACGGAGCTGTTGAGAAGGGAATGTTGGCTCCCTCATCCCCATCCAGCATCAAAGCAGCAGGATTGGGGTCACCTGATTATTCCATTATGGAATAGCCCAAGGCTGCCTCTTTGGGGACCCTCCGTGCCAATTACACACAGCAGCGTTGCCGGAGATGCTGAGAAACTCATATTTTGGGTAGAGATAAATGACCTCAAGTCCTCCCCCTTATATCTCTCAACACTTATTCGTGTCTCGTTTTGCCTGCCTTTTATAGCCTGTTCTGTCCGTTAATGGGCTATATTTTGGCTAGCTGAACTAGCTGTGATCCGGATACAGGGATTAACCAGAAATATTCTGGGGACAAGATAAACCGACAAGTGCAGCTTTCCCACAGTCCGTTCCAGCCACAGCTAAAGTCCAGTTCTTTGCTTCCTCTGACAGCAGCTTCACACAGACAGGGGCATTCTAACCCCCGGTGCAGGCAGTGCAGCTGAGCCCCCACGGCCAATCCTCATTCCCTATTTTTTGCGCCAAGGGTGGGTGTGGGTGGGCAGAGTGCCATAAAGTTAGATATCCCTACAATATCTCAGGTAACAGAATACCCCACTCACAGGCACAGAAGCCGCTTCACATGTTCCTCTGCATTCGCTTAAAAAAAGTATCAGGAATGGATCTGCCTGAAAAATAACATTCTACTGTCATGTTATCCCGTGTCACTTCTAACATTTTACAAAAGAATCATCATGTATTCAAGAACTGTCAAGGAAATGTGTCAGCTGCTTTATAACTTTCATTTCTTTTAACAGGTGAAGGGCAACAGCTTCAAAAAGAGGCCAAACCAGCAGCCAACCAGTAGCTCCCATTAATTCTGGCCTGTTTGCAGAAGAAATATTCCAGGTGAATTGTGACCACGCCCATTTCTGAGTCCCTTTGCCAAAACTGGATCTTCTTGATGGCACTTCACAGCGCTACTATTATGAGCTTCAAGGTGTCCCTGCACTGCCCTCCGAGGGATTCGGCTCCAGAGTTCTTGGAAGGCAGGATGCCAGGTCTGTGGGCCTCTCAACCAGGGTGGAGCCCCCCTGTGTACCTATAGAGGTAAACTGAACCATCTTCTTGCCCAGCCAGCAGGCAAGTGTCCGTGACTGACCACCTGACCAGGCACCAGCTGCCTCCAGAGTTGGGGGGCAGCAACGCAGTACATTGCCCCAGAAATAAATCCCACACCGCGATGGTTCCAGATGTCAGGACAGCTGCTGCCGAAGAGCCCCTCACGTCACGCTCCAAGGACCTGGAAGACCAGAAACAGCGTGTTTGGGAAGCTGCAGGCTTTGGAGCCCCCCATCTCTTGCCTGCTTGGGGCTCAGGTTTAGAAGACTCGGGACAGGGAGACGGGCGGCATATGAATTGAATGAAGGAATGAATGAAGGTGGTTGTTTGGAGAGAAGTGTAAAAAGGAAGCTCAAGTAAAGCAGAATCAATGTGGTAAACGGAAGACCCCACAATGGAGCGTATCTGGGCAGCCCTTCCTCCTCTCAGCCACCAGAAAACGTCGTAAGAAGGGGGCAAAGTTAGGGAGGGACGGACCACTCGGTGTGGTTATGGCAGGTTATGGCCGAGCAGGGTCATCCCCCAAAGTGCATTTCCGGCCACCGGATGGGGATTTTCTGCACTGCAGGCCGGGGGAAGCCAGCTGGTAACCAGTAGCTTTTTGCCTCTGAACCCTTTCCTCCACTGGGGGAAGGGGGTTGCTTGGGCCATGATTCCTTTGCCTCCTTGCAGAGTGGTGTGTTTCCCATTGTCAAATTAATTTGGCTACAAGCAGCTGGGTTTTGAGCAGCCAACCCTCCTGCCCCCCGCCTCCTGCCCCAACTTGCCTTCCTTGGATGCTGGGGGGCGGGGCCAAGAGCATCACCCCAGAGCTTCTGGCGGTCTTGGGATTGAGCGCAACCATCTGGAAGGCGGGGTTCTCAGGCAGCTGGCTGTCTTTGGCGTGTGGGTGGCTGAAGACCAGGAAGAGGAGGCCCTGATCCGCAAGACAGAAAACACCCAGGGGGGCATCAGCTCTGCCGCCAATCAGATAAGCACGGGATGCTTCAGACACACATTCACAGGGCGGCTCCTAACAACACTGAACCTGGGTCTGCACAAAGAGGGCTGGGCAACTGAGGGGAGGCCAGTTATAAACTCAAGATACTGTTTGAACAGGGTCAGGATTTTCTCTTCCAGGTGCCTTCAGGTGAGGCTGCTGGAGGGGTCTCAGCAGGACTGTTGGCCAACTTTTTCAGAAATGGTTGTCATTGTCTCATCCTTCCTGGGGCTAAGAAGGGCGGATGGGACAAAGGCCTCTACATCTATCAGGCAGGACTACAATTCAGGTGCCACTGCCCTTAACCACGACACCAAACTGCCTCTCTGTCAACTCCTAAAGTTGTCGTAGTGAGGTGAGGGGGGAGGAGCGCATTCCACGCATACTTTCGGCCAGTCGGATCTGATTACTGCAAGCGGCTTGGAAGGGGTGCACCTCATTGGGGAATGTGATTTATGACAGACTGAGGGAAGGAAGCATCAGGGGTAAAGTTCAGCTATAACGCAAACAAAGCTCAGATCTGACTGCAAAATGGCCTTGCCTAACGGTACTCCTAATAAATGACTAGTTTTGTATTGAAACTTGGCTCGATGCTCATGAATCAATTAGGGCATTTTTAGGAAACGTGATACTCAATTATATGTTGGTCAACAGATTCAATAGATTGAGTCATAAGATGATGATTTACTGGTTCAGACACTGAATGCATCAGTTACATGATGCCAACCTTCTCCGCTTCTGGCCTCTCCATTCAGAGGATTTGAAGCACCGCAATAGCATTTAGGCTTATATATAACTCCAGTGCTTTATAGCGCTCCCTGGGCAGTTGACAATGCCAGCATTATTTGCAGACCGACTCCAAAAATCTGGGTTTTCATTTTACTGATCTTGGAAGGATGGGAGGCTGAGTCAACTTTGAGCCCCATCAGGATTGACCTTCAGGCCACGGTGGGCAGTTTGCCTGCCATGCTGCATTCTAACCACTGCAGGTACCAGAATTTAAAAGCAATCTCCCCAAATACATAATTAATCTTGAAACCCTGGACTTCCAAACACTTCCACACCTCTGAGAAATTAACTCCAAATATCTACGACATCCAAATATCTTCAGTTGAGCCGGGCTCAGGACAAAATGTGACAAATGGGGAAAAACCAACCAACCCAATGCAGCCCCCCCAAATGCTTCCTGCCTGGCGTTGCCCCATATCCCTGACATGACCCCCGGCGACAGATAAATAGTCATCAATGCTCATCTCTTTGGCTATGAATTTAATTAAAAATATAATCCATAGAAAACTCTGCAATTTCATGGTTTTAACCTAACTTGTTGCTTATCAACGTGACTCTCGGAGATCAAAGCTCTGCCAAAGCGATCTTTTTTCTCCCTGGACAGAGGCCAGCCTCTGGGTACAGGCAATCCTCAACTTACAACCACAACAGAGCCCAAAATTTATACCGTTGTGAGAAATTTGTTGACTGGGTTTTGCCCCCGTTGACGACTTTCCTTGCCACATTTGTCAAGTGAATCACTGCAGTTGTTAAATGAGTAATAGGGTTGTTAAGTGAATCCAGCTTCCTCATTGACTTTGCTTGCCAGAAGGTCACAAAAGGGGGTCACGTGACCCCGGGACACTGTGACCGTCATAAATGTGAGTTGGGTATCCGAATTTTGATCACACGGACCTGGGGATGCTATAAAGGTCGTAAGTGTGGGAAAATGGTCATAAGTCCCTTTTTTCAGTGCCATTCTAACTTTGGTCACTAAACAGACTACCTGCCCTTCCCAAAGGAGCCGCACCTCCTTCTCATCCGAGCTCCTGCACATGCAGGCCCCACCTTCTCACTCCTGCCTCAAAGGTGCTCTCAGAGAAAGCCAAGCCAGGGATTGAAAAGCTCAGCCGCAGGAAGGCCACAAGCCCCCCAGAGGCTTCCCTGCCTTTCCCAGGGGGGACCGGAGGTACCTACCGAGTCGGAGTAGGCCTTGTGGCAGACGGACGCAGGAAAGGACCACTCCACCGGGATCTTCTTCAGCAGCTGCCCGGTTCCCAGGTTCCTGTGGAAGGCAAAAAGGCCACCATAAGCTCAGCCCTGGAGGAATTCCGGTCCCTTCAGCTGCCTGGCCAGGACAAGCCCAGAAGAGACCAGAGAAGGGAGCCTGAGAGGTATAATAGCGATCAAATAAGCAATCCCGATAAATCAGTGCTTCTCGACGGAGGAAGCTGATGTCACAGTGGAGTGGGGAAAGCAGTTGCAATTTCCTGCTCTCTCCTGCACTTTTCCCCAGCTAAAAGCAGACAAAGGGCACAAGCTGTGCACAAAAAGGTGTATGGCATCGGCTAGCAGCAAAAATGGCATCAGCCAGCAGAAAAACCAGGTGTCACGTCTGCCATCTTCAGCTTCTTCCCTTCACTAAGGAAGGGAAGGCAAGAAGGGAAGGAATTTGAGGAAGTAAAGTTAGAGCATGGGAATGGGAAGACAAATGGGGTGGGCGGGGGAGACAAGTTGACAAGAACCAGAGGTACCAAACCAGAATAAACCAGCTGCCAAGGACACCTGGCCTGGGAATAGACTCTAACATTATATCAAGAGGTGCCAAGCAGTTCTCAAAACATCAAATTATTGGACACTGATGGGACTGGTCGGGAGACGGCGGGGGGGAGGGGGGGGCAGGGAAAGGAGAAAAAGTGTAACCTTTGTGCCAGAATGCTCAGATCTAGCTTCACTTTCACTGCCACCACTTAACTTTAGTAAAAGAGCCGATCAATTCAACCAAATGCAGTCGAGGGTCTTTCTTTTCTAAACATCTATGTTAGGGCAGGTGGGACACCAGGAAGGAAGGTGGAGTCTCTCAGATCCCATTGTGAGCATTTCAGGCATCCCAAACAAGTCTGCTGGCTATATAGAAGGTCAGACGGAGGCTCTCGAGACATTCTGTATATTGAGGCAGTTGCAGGGATTCCAGTAAATATGTTCAAGTTCTCTTTGTTTTTAATATGAATGAAATTAGGCATTCCTAATTCATTTCTTCCTCTGTAATGAATTTAAAAACTCATTTGATTCAGCACAAATATTTGTTCCTATCTGCTGGACTCTTCAAAGGATTTTCAAAAGAGGTGAGCCGTCATCCATTCTATGCCACAGATGTTATGGTCACATCGGGTGAAAGTTCCTTGCAGGGAATCATAGGGCTGGAAGAGACCTTGGAGATCGTCTAGTTCAACCCCCCTGCCAAAGGGGGTTGAAGCCTTATAGCAGTGGTTCCCAAACTTTGCAATTTTAAGACTTATAGCATCCTGGATAAATGGCTGACCAATTTCTTCTCGGAAACCTCCAGTGATGCAGCACTCACAAGTCCAGGGAGCAAGTTAGATATTATTGCTGTGATGAACTAGGTTTTAGGAAGGAAGTTAAGGCTCTCACACACCTCTAGGCACTGCTAAACTAAAAAGGGAGCTTTTTAATTCTGAAATTTGATATATAAGGGTGACAGAATCCTTCTGGAAATATGAATCAGATCAGTGGTGGGATTCAAATTTTTTTACTACCGGTTCGGTGGGCATGGCTTGGTGGGCGTGACAGGGGTAGGATACTGTAAAATCCCCATTTCCTCAGAATCAGCTGGGACTCGGGAGGCAGATAATAGATGGGGGCGGGGCCAGTCAGGGTACGATTTACTGGTTCTCTGAACTACTCAAAATTTCCACTACCGGTTCCCCAGAACTGGTGAGAACCTGCTGAATGCCAACTCTGAATCAATGTTTATTTTGGTTCAACGGAACATGTCAACTCTTCAAATACTGAGTTTCAACTGAGAGGCAAGGCTGGACAGGACAATATTTAGTTCTGCATGGTCTCAGGCTAAGGCAATCTGTAAAATCTGAATTGCAAAAAACCTGTATGTATACATAATTAAAACTTTTGTACTGGAGATATTAGAATTTTTGTTTTATTCCTAGTTTTCTGAATTTCTTTTTTCCCCCAATTATTTCACTTCTCCACCCCCTTTCAATTACTTTTCCATTTTTCCACTTATGCACTGAGCATTTTTTTTTGCAATAGCAATATAGTTTGTACATACATTTTTATGTGTTATCTACTGTAACATCTTTGTTGAACTGTCAGAATTTTAATTAAGGAAAATAGCTGGGCCGGAGGAAAGTTCCACGGAGCAACCTGTGGGCTCACCAGAGCACAATGCAGTTCATGGCAGTCATTCCAAGCAGAGCCTCCTGCAGTCCAGCCACATGGGCAAAAGCCAAGACGGTCTCTTCTGGGGGTATCAAAGCCCCCCTTTTATGGCTCCTGCAAGACATAGAGGCTCTCCTGGTTTGCAGAGTCTTGTTTGTAGGATAGAAAATGAATAGAGAGGTAGAGTAGAGTAGAGTATTACTATAGTACAGAGTAGAGTAGAATATTAATAGAATAGGATAGGATGGGATGGGATAGAATAGGGTAGAATGGGATAGGATGGGATAGGATGGGATGGGATAGGATAAAATAAATAGAATGGGATAGGACAGAATGGGACATAATGAGAGAATAGGATAGGATAGAACAGAACGAAACAGAACACTATTGGCCAAATATGATTGGAGACACAAAGAATTTGTCTCCAGTGTAAAAGCTCTCGGTGTACATACAAACAACAAAGTGATAAGTCATAGATCATAAGTCATAAGATACAATAATAATTCATAAGATACAAAGAAGTGATTAATCCTAATCAATAGAAGGTAGTAGGAAAGATGAGAAGGGTAACACAAATAGGGCCCTCCTACATGGGTAAATATCTTTAGGCATAGGACAGTGCTGAGGGAGTTAGGTGTTTAGCAGAGTGATGGCGTTAGGGAAGAGATCATCCAAGCCCCCCCCCCCTTGTGACTCCTGCAAAAGCAGCAGTTTCTCATGATTTTCAGTTTATAGCAGAGGTCTTCAAACTTGGCAACTTTAAGACTTGTGGACTTCAACTCTCAGAATTCTCCAGCCAGCTATGTTGTCAAATTTGGGGACCCCTGGTTTATAGCATGGAAAATGAATTCACTGCCAACATGCTCAGCCCAATTATTACTCGCTTGCACAGATCAAATCCTCATTTCAATTTCCCTGCTGCATTGATCTTATCTATTTCTCAGAGGACTTCTGAACTGGTGATCTTCCCTGTGAGGTTGACCATTTTCTTATTTTTTTTATTTTTTTTTGTAAATATGTTTTATTTTCATTTTCATTTCATACAGTCACATATATACTGTGCATAATCGGGGCCGTAT